TCCTGTCCTCTCAGGTGGAGTCCAGAGCTCTCAACAGCCATCCTTTCATGTAGGCTGGGTGTGTGCTATAGGGTTTACGTCAGAAGACCATGATATGATTACCAGCGGTCTGATGCTCCATGCCAGCTCTGGGCAATGCCAGCTTCACACAAATTACTTGGCCAGCTTACTCAGCTCCAGGTGTGTCCCCAGTTCTGGGTTCAGGTAGAAACAGGTCAGACCTCATGCAACATCCAGCTAACCACAGGATGCACCTGCCTTGATGAGAACCCCTTGTAGCCAAGTTTTCTGGTAGCATTTTGGTGGGTTTCCAGTTACATTGAATTAGAGTCAGAAGACCGAGTCACAATATCCAGCAGCGACCACTACCCAGTCGAACCACCACAGGAGAATTCAGCCCTGGTTGACACCCTGTTGGCACCCTTGCAGAAGATTCAGCTAGAGCATACCTGGACTCCTGACCTACAGAACTGTAATGGTTAAAAATGTGCTGTTTCAAGCTGCTACGTTTGTGGTAATTTGTTACACAACCTAGAAAACCAACAGATTCACATAACTAACTCTGACTCGTCCCTTATCCTTTCCATCCCACTCAGATTTATTTCCTCAGCCAACCTTCCCACCATCACTGCCAAGTTCCAAGCTCCTTGTTGCCGGGGTGGTGAAACATTTAGTGTGGCTCTTCTAGCCAAAGCCTCTAGCCCCCACCAAGGGACCTTTTCCTGAGTGGGTCTGGTAAGAAGGTGGGGCGATAGTGGTAGGGTTCCCTGGAGAGCCATCTGCTGTGTTTAAAAAGCAGGAGTGGGTCAGGTGGGATTTCATTACCAGCAAGAGTCAGGTGTGGAGTGTATCCTCTGGACGTGAGATCCCTGGACAGTGAACCTCTTGGATCCAGAACACAGGTGTGCCATCAGAAGAGCAGCGGCAGAATGAGGAGCAGCGTGGTGAATTTCCCACCCCACGGGGCCTTGGGGTGGGGGGTAAGGGGGCAAAGGGAACTTTTCCAGCCCACAGAGCAAGTAAAGCTGCGTGCTTTTACACAGGAGGCTGGCTAGTGGAGTTAGTTGCCTCTGGCCACTCCCTCAAGGAAGCTGAACCATGGTGGTGTAGTGGTTATGTGTTGGGCTGTGATCCACATGGTTGGCAGTTTGAAACCACCAGCAACCTCTTGGGAGAAAGACTGGGTCTCTACTCCTGTAAACAGTTAGAGTCTTGGAAACCCACAAGGGTTCGTTCTGAATCAGCATTGACTTGATGGCAGTGAGTGTTTGGGGGCTTGCTGACCCTCAGGAGTGGCTGAGGCTTACTGGAGTGGGGAGCCTCTGAGCAACTTAATTCACCAAGCTGGGTTTGTTGGCCCCCAGAGCGGGAACTGAATGCCTGCTGGGTTGAGCCTTACAGGAGAGTGATATGCCCCTTTGGCAGACCTGGAAAAAAGAACTTTGTAACCTGTGCTGGCAAGCACCTGTATCCTGAGCATTTCTCACTGATGTTATAGCCTGTCAACTTCCTTACTAAACGCTTGTCTGTGTAACTGTGGCAATGGGTATTAGAACCTAGAGGTAGAATACATCTAGAACCTAGAAGGAATACTACCTAAAACAACACTCTGGTTATAGGCTCTTATGCCACGGTGCACATCTCCTCCTTCTAATCTATACCGTTCTTATTGTGAATACTGAATTAAAACTGTAAGTCCCAAGAAAGCAAAATAAAACAACCCTTACTTGTCATCTTCTCTGCCCCATCCCACCCCCTGGCCTAAGGCCTAACACATGTATGTGGTAGCTACCCAGTAAGTATCTTTTGAATCAATGGGTGCTTTGTAGGACATTCTGGGGGGAGGATAGATAGGGGCTACGTTGTTCAGTGACTAAAGTGACTTGGGGAAAACTTGGATGATTCACTTCAGAAGCTCCCCATTTTGTGTGTGACCTATCTGTGCTTTGCCACATCCTAGAGGGGTATCACGTGTCCACACGTAGCACTGGACCCATTGAGCCGCCCTCCAGCCTTGGCACGAGTGTGTTACTCCCGGACCTGCCAGGCTCCCTCATCCTCCAGAGAACAGCTCCTTTTCTGACCACCAAGCACTTTTCTTCTGCGTGTCTGCCGGAACGGTCAGAGCAAGGTGCATGACAGGAGAGGAGGAAGAGCCAGGGAAGGAGCTCCAATCTGGCAGCTTCAAGAAAGCCCACAAAACGCCAAGGAGCTGATTCCAGGAACAGAAAGGTGAACCCCTGGGGTTACCCAGAAAGCTCTACTTTCAGGTGTGACAATAAGGTTGAGGGACTTTAGAATCCTTAGCCTGCATTTCTCTGTTTTCCCAACTGGGCTTTCTTCTTGTCTTCCTGGATTTTGTGGCATCAGCAATGAAATGTTTAAGTCTCTATGGCTGGAAACATCCCTCCTTAGGCCCAGGAGGGAGGTGCCTGCTGAGATGGCACCGTGCTGTCCTCCTTCCGTTCCAGCCGAGCTTCTTGGAAGCGTTGTGGACACTTGCTAGGCGTTTTCTTTTCTGTGTATCTGCTCCTCCGTCACTGCCTGCTGGCCCCCAGCTGCCGTGGCGTGGACATGGCCTTGCCGTTGAAGGCAGTGGACTCTTGCTGGTCATCTTCTGATTTCCCTCTTTCCTGACCTTCTTTCCCCTCTCAGTTTCGGGGCACCGTCTCTTCTGCTTCTCTCCATCCTCCCTCTGTCTTCTAACCATCACCTGTTGCTCTTACCCCCCTTCGTCAGTTTGATGCCCCCCTGGTTTTGCCCTTGGTCCTTCCCCCGCCTCATTCGACACTTTTCTCCAGCAAACGCACTCACTTCAGATTCCCCGAGGGTGCCCAAATCGGTAGTTTCAGCTTAAGCTTCTCACTGAGCTCCAGGCTCAATATCACCTGTCCACAGGTGTCCCTCAAGCACATGTAACTGTGCATGTCTTACATGGAGCCTGCCGACCCCTCCCCCCCAGTCCCAAATCCTACCCCTTCCTCCATGTCCCCTCTGGGCACTTGGCACCATCATCCTGGTCACTCCAGTCAAAACGGAAGGTAATAGCTTCTATTCCTCTTCTCCCTCGGTCCTCATCTCTAACAGTCACAATGCCTGTCTTCTCTGCTTCTTAACTATCCACATGCATCCACCTGTTTCTGTCCTTTCTACCTCATACTTCCATGTGGATAAGTTGAAAGACTATGATGGACCTGACGCATTAAAAGAGGTAGGTGTGTGTGTGTGTGTGTGTGTGTGTTGGAGGGCACTCTAGGAAAGACCGAGACTAGCTGGTCACCTGTCCCTTCTGGAGCTGCTACGGAAACGTGAGTTACTATCTGGAGTTGCAGGATTCAGTGGATGCAGTTCATAAACTCTCTGCCTTGGAGACATTCAAGGAAAAGTTTGGAGTAGGTCAGATCCTTGTCTAGAATAAGTGTGACCTTCTGCTCTGGCAGGCAGGTAGGACTGAGCTGGTGGTGGTACTTTGGTGACTGCACCTAGCTCACAAATGCATTCCCTTTGGCTCCCATATTGTTCTATAAAGGGATGGAATCAACTCAATGGCAGTGGGTTTGGTTTGAGCTGGTGTGTCTCCTCCCAGCCCCCAGCCCCGGCCTTGCCAGAGACATCCAGCATGACTTCTAGAACAAGAAGACACATGATCGGGAGGTTATTATGTAAGTTTCTGAGCATCCCCTAGCAGTCCAGGGAGACAGTCCAAGCAGATGCTGAACCCGTTAGGAGTACGTCCTGATGCTGGTCAGGGGAACGGAGAGTCAGTGGCTGAAGCAAAGTCACCAACCGAGAAAGATATCCTGAGCAGTGGTTCCAGGCCCCTCTCCCGTGGCCAGAAGATGGCAGCTGAGGTTATAGGCCATGTTCAAGGCAGGAAGAAAGTGGTCCCATTCTATCAGGAAAGCAAACACTTGCTCAGAAAGTCCCAGCGTACTTCTATTTTATTTTATTGGGCAGCTACAAAGCAAAGTTTCCAGAGATGCAGGGAAAGCGAGTGTTTAATGGGCACATTGCTGTCCAAAGAAGGTGAGGAGGAATGCCCGACGCATAGCCAAGCCTGTTGACCCCCGCGCCTTCTGCGGGGAGAATTACAGAACAAAACGCAACTGCCTCATCAAGATCCGGCTGAGGAACCTCTAGCTTGTCCCCTCTTGTGAGGCGCTCTTGAGTCGGCTCCCACTCGGAGCGGCCCTGGACACGGCAGAATGCAGCTGCCTGGTCCCGAGCCGTCCTCACAATCACTCCTACGTTGGCCTGTTGTTGCAGCCACCATGTCCATCCGTCTCCTGGGGGTCACTCGGAGATACTCTTTAAACTTGGTTTAAACGGAAACCACTCAACCTTTCAGCTAAGTAACAGAGGGGGGCATATGATAAATCGTGTCACTCGTAAATACTGAGCTCCTAAAAAACAAACCTCTAAATGACAGAGCCCTGGTGGCACTTTCAGGTAAACATTGGACTTACCTGAAGTGCAGTGTGGACTGCTATTCAGAAGGCCAAGGGTTCAAACCCACCAGCCACTCCACAGGACAAAGATGAGGTTGTCTGCTCCCATAGCGCCCTGGCCGCTCTGAGTCAGAACATTTGTCTGTCAGTTTGCAGTATTGTGGTGGCGTGTGGGTCGCTGTGATGCTGGAAGCTCTGTCTCTGGTATTTCAAATGTCAGCAGGGTCACCCAGAGTGAACAGGTTTCAGTGGAGTTTCCAGACTAAGAACAGACTATGGAAGACGGAACTGGCTGCCCACTTTGGTAGAAGTGCCTGCTGCACATCTTATGCATAGCTTCCCAAAGAATGGAAGCAGAACATTGAGGTGGGGCCAGAAGATGGGCCTCAGGTGGGAAGGCTCTCAAATGGGAGTGAGGGGGGCTGCTTTCTTACAGTCGAATTGGCCGTGGTGATGTGAATCGTCATTTGCTGACGGAGCACCCCCCACGCCCCAAATGAGAAGAAACAGTTGCAACGCATTTGCTGATGCCGCACAAGACAAAATGAGAAGAAACAGTTGCAAAAATCGACTAATAATTGGAACTCTGAATGCACAAAGTATGAATCCTGGAAAACTGGAAGTCATCAAAAATGGAATAGGATGCATAAAGATTGAAATCCTAGGTATTAGTGAGCTGAAATGAACTAGTATTGACCATTTTAAAGCATAAAATCATTTGGTTTGCTATGTTAGGAATGACACAATCAAGAGAAATGGGATTGCATTCATTGTAAAAACAACAATAAAAACCTCATTTCAGGCGCGCCCACCACACGGCCTGGCGACGTGGCCAGGCGGACCAGCCCACCCCCCCCCTCCCCCGCAGCGGCTCAGGCCAATGGACGCGTGAGCCGGGCTGCCCCTGCCCCTGCCGAGCCGGAGCCCCCATTCCCGAGGCACCGCCCTGGCCGCTCGCCCGGAGCTCCCTGCGGGCCGCCCGCGTCCTGATGGAGCTTGGCTCGAGGCGGCCGCGCTCGCCGCCGGGGCTTCGCGCTGGGGCTGCTGGCTCTGGCTCTGGCACTGGCACTGGCGCGCGGGCCGCTGCGCAAGGAGCGCGTGGTGCCGCCCAACTCCGAGCTAGGCGAGCGGCCCACGGAGGACAACCAGAGCTTCCAGTACGACCACGAAGCCTTCCTGGGCCTTCAAAGAAGTCTAATCAATACAATTCCAAATTTATGGATCAACCACAAAAGCTAGTGATGAAGAAACTGAAGAATGCTCCTAGTCTTCAGTCTGAAATTCATCAGATATGCAATGTGTTCTCACATGCAGTGATTCAAAACAAAGTAAAGTGCTCCCTTTCGGCAGCGCATATACTAAGAGTAGAATGATACAAAGAAGATCAGCATGGCCCCCGTGCAAGGATGACAGGCAAATTCGTGATGCGTTTCATAAAACTAAACTAAAATAAAAACAAAGTGAAGGGGCAATGCATGTGGATTGAGACTGGTGAATCCCCTCTGACCATAGACTAGGGACTTGAATAGCCCTTCCATCAGGCATGTAGGTTAAAATTTGGTACCTTATCATTTGAACTCCCTTTGGACCATTTCAAATTTGTTCTAGGATTTAATATTTTCTGCTTTTTTTTTAAATTAAGGTTTTTCTCAGTTTTACCTTGGTATTATTGTTAGGGTTTTCTGGTTTTGTATATGAAATCTAGGGTAGGTAAGTCTACAGAGACAGTAACTGGATCAATGTTTCCTGCAAGTGTGGCAGTGGAGTTTGGGGGGAAATGGGGCGCTAATAACAATGAGTCCAAGAAAGAAGAAAATGCCTTAAAATGAACTGTGGTGACAATTGTACAACTCTTTTTAGGATGATTAAACTATTGATATGTGATTTAAGTGCCAAGAAAACTGTTAAAGTAAGATTCTTTTTAAAGATGCATTGATCATTATTGGTGATTGGAATGCAAAAGTTGGAAAGAAAGAGGAAAGAACAGTAATTGGAAAATAGGGTCTTGGTGACAGAAATGATGTTGGAGATCATGTGAAAACATTTTGCAATATCAATAACTTGTTCCTAGCAAACACCATTTTTCAACAACACAAATGATGGCTATACGTGTGGACTTCTCCAGACGGAATACACAGAAACTACATTGCCTACATCTGTGGGAAGAGACAATAGAGAAACTGAATATCAGCCGCTAAAACCGGGCCAGAGGTTGACGATGCAGCAGACCATCAATTGCCCATATGTAAGCTCAGGTTGACGCTGAAGAAAATGAAAACGGGTCCAAAGACACAAACTACAACCTTGAGTCTATCTCACCTGAATTATAAGAATCTCAGTGGGGAAAATGGACACATACTAATAACAAAAGACTTGATGAGCTGTAGAAGCATATCAAGGACACGCATGAAGAAAGCAAACGGTCCCTAAAGAGAAAAGAAAGAAAGGAAATGCAACGTCGATGTTAGAAGAGACTCTGAAACTTGCTCTTAATTGTAGAGTAGCTAAGCAAATGGAAGAAATATGAAGTCAAAGAGCTGAACAGGAAATTTCAAAGGGCACCTTGACAGACAAAATAAAATATTATATTGAAATGTGAGAAGACCTAGAGTTAGCAGCTAGAACACATTCAGCATATATTAAACTGAAAGAGCTCAAGAAAAAATTGAAGATTTAAGTTGCATTATTGAGAGATTCTGTGGGCAAAATATTGAACAATGCAGGAAGCATCAAAAAGATGGAAAGAATACACAGTCACTGTACTTACATGAACTGGTCAACATTCCACCAGTTCAGGAGGTAGCATATGAGCAGGAACCAATGGTGCTGAAAGAAGAAATTCAAGCTGCACTGAAAGTATTAGCCACAAACAAGACTGCAGGAACTGATGGAATACCAATTAAAATGTTTTAACAAGCTAATGAAGCACTGGAAACACTCACTCATCTATGCCAGGAACTTTGGGACTGGCCGACTGACTGGAAGAGATCCCTATTCCAAAAAAAGGTGACCTAACAGAGCGCTAAAATGATAGGACAATGTCTTTGATATCACATGCAAGTAAACTTTTGTGGAGATCACTCAACAACAGTTGCAGCAGTACACTGATAGGGAGCTTCCAGCTGTTCGGGCAGAATTCAAATGAGGACGTGGAACTAGGGATATCATTGCTAATGTTAGCTGGACCTGGCCTGAGATGAGAATACCAGAAAGATGTTTGCTTGTGTTTTGTTGACTATGCCAAGGTATTTGATTGTGTGGATCACATCATGCTATGGATAGTCTTGGGAAGAATGAGAATTCCAGGACACTTCATTGTGGTCCTGTGGAGTTTGTACAGGGATCAAGAGGCGATTGTGTAAACAGAACAAGGGATTCCTGCATAGTTTGAAATCAGGAAAGCTGTGTGCAGGGTTATATCCCTTTACTTATTTAATCTGTATGCTGATCGAAGATAATCAGAGAAGCTGGACTATATGAAAAATAATGCAGTACTAAGATTGGAAGAAAGCTTATTAACAACCTTATATATGCAGATGACCTAACCTCACTTGCTGAAAGTGAGGAGGATTAGAAGCACTTGCTGATGAAGATCAAGGAATGTAGCCTCAGTAAGATTACAATTCAATGTAAAGACCAAAATTGTCACAACTGGACCAATAGTTAACGTTCTATTCTGCCTCTCATTCTGTCCCATGGGTCACAAAGAGACAGACTTGATTAGATGGTAGTGGGTGGGACCTTTTTCTGCTGTAAATGTCATGTACAATAGTTTTATCCCATGAAGCTTCAAAACTGTTTTGTAAAATCCTGAGACTCACTGTGTGGGCTTGGGGTCAATTGTGGTCAGCTCTGGAAACCCAATGAGATGGTGACTCAATAAAGTGCTGGTCCTGGGGTCTGCAGTTTGCAATCTGATGAAATTTTGGAACACCATTTTAATAAACAAAATTTGTACTATGAAAAGAAAACCAAGTAGGAGAATGGACCTATAATTCAACCTTTAGCAGATCTAAGAGAATTTAGTAACATTATTTAACGTCCGCTGTAGTTATTTTAAGGTTATTTGCTACTTATGGCAGGAGATACTGGTTTTCATTTGTAGTAATGATCTAAATTTTCCTTTTCCAGTATCATTTTCGAGTGAAAAAGTGAGTCGATTTAAATGAAAAAAGAAAGTAATAGTACAACACGCTGGCAAACAAGCTCTCGGAGTCAAAAAGCATTCGTTTGAGTGCTTGCTAATCTCCAGTGTACATGTCCCCATCCTGCCCTCTCTCAATTAACCAAGGCGATGTGGCTGACTGCAAATTGGCAGAAGACACGCAGCATCAGCTCTGGAGCCATTGCAAGCACTGCAGCTCACCAGTGGGTGGGGCTAAGAGACAATGAATTTGGACAGCACTGGAAAAACCCTCCATTACAGTCACTTTAAACAATACAAAGTTTTGATGTACACAGTTCCCGTATGTCCCCTCTACCCTCTGCGGCGTTTTAACATCTTGCATGTGTGTGTGTGTATGTGTTCCAATTGATGGTCCAGATTTGACACATCATTGACCGAAGACTATAATTTAGAGTTTACTCTTTGTGTTGTATAGTCTAGGGTGTTTGTTGATATAAGCTTGATGTCATGTGTCCAGTATTACAGAGTTGCACACAAAAGTTTCACTGGCTCTCTGTCCTTTACCTATTCATTCTCCCTAAACCCTTGGAAACTTTGATCGTTTTCACTATAGTTTTGCCCTTTCCTCAATGTCGTGCAGTTGGAAATCCCATAGTATGTAGCGCTCCCAGAATGCTTTCTTTTACTTAGTAAGATTCATTTCAGGGCCCTCAAGGTCTTTTTGTAGATTGATAGGTCACATCTTTTATATCACTGAATAATCCCCCTTTGTATGAATGGATCAGAGTTTGTTAATCTGTGCATCTGTTGAAAGTTATCTTGCTTGCTCATTCACTTTGTTTTCCTACTACATTTTTCTTCTAACTTTTTATTGTGAATTAGGTGGAGGTTTACATATCAAATGATAATTTTTGCATTCAATACTTAAACAACTTACCAAATCTTCCCTGACATGACCTCCTGTTTCTTCCCTTTTCTCTCCAGCTCTCTCACAGTATCTCGCCCTTCCCCCAAGTGAACTCCCATCCATCCATCCTTTAGTCCACTGCTTCCCTTGATTTTTTAAATTTTGTATTATGGTGGTTTCATGCAATATCTGTACTCCTGTGTTTGAATAACTTCACTCAACTTAATGTTCACCAAATCCACCGTGTCATAAGGTAGTTCACAGTTCCCTCATTATTCTTTAAGGGTGTCTAGTTATTGGGTGTGTGTACACAGTGTATCTCTTCTTCCACAGATGGCCATGTAGGCTGTCTCTGTGCTCTTGCTATGGCCCTAGTGCTGTGAGGAATATGGGTGTGTGCGTTTGAGTTCGTGCTCTGTCCTTTATTTCTGTAGGGTCGATGCCAAGTGGCACTACTGCTAATCGAAATGTGGTATTTCTATTTCCTATTGTGTAAGGAAGCGCCATTATGATTCCCGCAGTGGTTGTATTGTTTTACGCTCCTCCCAGGAGCGTATGAGGGGCCCGGTCTCTGCACCCTCTACAGTATTTGTTTTCTGCTTTCTTGAGCTTTGTTATCAATTCTGGGTTGAGATATTTTTTGGTTTATGTCTCTCAGATCACCAGTGATCTTGAGAATTTCTTCCTACACTGGTTGGCCACCTGAATGTCTTCTTTGGTAACCTGTCCATGTCCTCTGCCCATTTTGATTTTTTTTTAATAATAGATTTATTGACATATCTTATACAATCCAATACATCCATTCACATATAATTCTCAATTCTGTTTTTCAGTCCCTTCGAGAAGAGTTACACAATCATCAATGCTATCAGCTCCCCACCCCTCCCTTCCACCCCTCTTCCTGTACCCTTGGGGAACTGTTACTCCTGTTACTGTTTTTGAAGGGTTATCTATCTTAACTTTCATGTACTGAACAAACTTACATATACAAATGAGCATATACAACTAACATGATTAATGAGATAAAACAAATAAATGCCTTAATAGTAAGGGGAGGAAATATTGGTAACTAGAGGATATTTATGTGGTTCATCAGTGCCATACTGCACCCTGGATTTATCATCTGTTCTGTGTGGCTTTTCTGAGAGGGACTGTCCAATTACTTTGCAGATGAGCTTTGGGTACCTATTGCATCTGTGCCCCTTCCCATCAAGTTGGTTGCATCTTTTTGAACGTCTGAGACCTCTTCCCATCGACATCTCGTGCTGACACAGGCTGGTGTGCTTCTTCCATGTGGAATTAGTTGCTTCCCTGCTAGATGGTCACTTGTTTAATTATAAGCCTTGAAGACCCCAGACACTGTATGTGGTAGTTCCACAATTTCATGTCAACTTGATCAGTAAGAGTGAAGGGGTGGAGTTTAGCCTGTCAATCAGGTCATAGCCTGGTGATCCCTCCTTGTGGGTGTGGCCTTCTCATGAGGATTCTGGGACTCCTTCTCATCCACACTCTCTGTTTCACCTTCTTGTTGACAAGCCTTGAGGAGCTACACTCAGAAGGCTGGAGGGGCATCACGCCAGCTGAGATGCTTCCACCACCACTGGATCCACAAAACTTCTCACCCACTGGCCTGTGACCTTCCTGCATTCAGCATCATTGCATGTGCTGTTTAAGTCTGAAGAGGAATTTATGGGCTGTTATCAGACATATGGGCTAATTTCAGACTTATGGACTTGATCTGGACTGGGCCAGGATGTTTTCTTAATATACGATTATTTCTTGAATAAAGTTCCCTCTTACATATATCTGAGTGTCTCTGGATTTGTTTCTCTAGTCCAGTGGTTCTCAACCTTCCTAATGCCATGACCCTTTAATCCAGTTCCTCATGTTGTGGTGACCCCAACCATAAAACTATTTTCATTGCTACTTCATAACTGTAATTTTGCTACTGTTATGAATTGGGCGACCCCTGTGAAAGGGTCATTCGGTCCCCAAAAGGGTTGTGACTCACAGGTTGAGAACTGCTGCTCTAGTCAATCTGGACTAACACACTATGCCTTTTGATAGCCACCTTGGCCCATTTTGTACTTGGACTATTCATCTTCTTTTTGAGGTGTTGAAGTTTTCTACAGATTTTAGAGTTTAGTCCCTTTGTCCAGTATGTCATTGCCATTTTTTTCCTTTTTATTCTTTTGATGAAATTTCTTGATGCAGGTAAGGTTATTTTTAGGGTGCCCCAATCATCTATTCTGGTTTTTGCTGTATACATGTTTATCATTATGCTTGATAGTATATTAATGCAATGTATTAGGGCCCTTACATTTGTCACTATTTTTTCATTGATAATCTTTACAGTTCTACATTTAGACTTTTAATCCGCCTTGAGTTCATTTTTGCATATGGAGTCAGGTATGGGTCCTGATTCATTCTGCAAATGGAAATCTAAGGTTGCTAGCATTATTTGTTGAAGAGATTCTTTCTTCTCCATTTGATATGTTTCAATCCTTTTTTCAAAAATAAGTTCTCTGTAGGTAGATGACAGGAGCTCTGATAGCAAAGTAGGTTACATGTTGTGCTGTTAACTGCAAGGTCTAGCAGTTTGAAACCACCAGCTGCTCCATGGGAGAAAAGTGAGGATTTCTACTCCTGTAAAAAAGTTACAGTTTTGGAAACCCACAGGGGCAATTCTAGTCAGTCTGATAGGGTCATTGTGTTAGACAGGGTTCGCTGGAGAAACAAACCCAGGACACTTTTGATTTCATTTCTAAATAGATAGATATAGTTGGATAGATACAACACAAGAAATAAAGAGCTAATTAGTCCACAGAGTGGTACAAATGGCTCAGTTCAACTTACTTCCGTGAGACAGTTAGTACACTGGCAGTCCTTCAACTCACAAAGGCTGCTGGATGCAAGTCAAGGAAGTAGACAGCTGAGTCTTCTGTAGAGCAATACAGGCAGTCCGACCACAGGCAGCAAACAGCAGGGCAGGTCACCAACAGTCAGCCAGATGACAGGGTCCAACAGTCCCCAGCTCAAGTGATGTATATACCAGCAGTGTGGCAAAGCAGGTCTTGAAGGAACCTCAAACTATAGCAACACAGTCCATGGGTTGGGTGTCCCACAGGTAGTGTAGCTCACAAGTTGAGGCAGAGAACTAGCTAAGGCAGCCCGCACACTGGTCTGATCATCAGAGAGCAAGAGACAAAGATGAGACTTGCTGAGCCATTTACCTCTTTGCTCTTCAATTAAATTGCAACCTTATTAACCCCACATGTTTTTATTGGCAAGGTTGCCACAAAAATCGTATCACAGTCACCATGAATCAGAATTGACTGTGTGGCAGTGAGTTTGGCTTGGGTTTGGTTGGTGAAAGGATTTCTTTATGCGTTTTCTATTCTATTCCATTGGTCTATGTATCTATGGTTATATCATGCCCAGGCTGGTTGTATAGTAGGTTTTGATACCAGGAAGTGAACAATCTTTGTCTTTACTGTTCTTTGGTAGTGCTTTGCTTTTCTTGGGTCTTTTTTCTTTCTGTATAAAGCTGGTGATTAGTTTTTCCATCTCTTCAAAGAATGATACTGGGGTCTGGATTGGAATTGCATTACATACACTTATAGATCACTTTGGGGAGTATGACAATTTCACAAAGTCTACCCATGAACATGGTTTATTCTACCATTTATGTAGGTCTCTTTTGGTTTCTTGTTTCCTCTACACTTAATTGATTTAGTAGTTGTGGTTGTTAAAATAATTAAACACACACTTATTCAACAGTTCAAATTAATTAAGTTGATTACATTCTTTGAGTTGTGCATTCTTACGCTCCTTTTCTGGGTTGTTGTCAATTGGATCTCAAAAGAGCACAGTGGTCCAGGCAGACATTAAAAAAAAAACAACCTAGTTAAGCTAAACTGTTGTTTGGTTTTAAGAGTTCAGGGAGTATTTTTGGTTGGTTTAAGATTTAAGGATTATCTTAGAGTAATAGCCACGGGATTCGTCTGCTTCCTGCAGCTTCAGATGTGCAGTTGTTTGGTGCCGTCAGGTGGTTCTGGCTCATGGCGGCCTTATGCGAAACAGAAGGAAACACTACCCAGTTTGCCCCATCCGCATAATTGTTGCAGCTACTGTGTCACCCCATCTTCACGAGGGACATCTGGTCCTCCACTTTACCATGGATGATGTCCTTCTCCAGGGACCGGTCCCTTCTGATAACATGTCCATAGTAGGTGAGACAATGTCTCATCTCTCACATCTAAGGAGCATTCTGGTTATCCTTCCATGATTGATTTGTTTTTCTTTTGGCAGCCCAAGCTATGTTCAATATTCTTTGCCAAGATCGTAATCCAAATACATTGATTCTTCTCCAGTCTTCTTTATTCAGTGTTCAGCTTTCATAGGCATATGAAGTGATTGAAAATACCATTGCTTGAGTTAGGCACATCTTAATCTTCAAAGTGACATCTTGACTCCTCTGACTGTGGCAACTCTATAGAGCGGCGTAGAACTGCCGCTGTGGGTTTCCAAGACTGTACCTTTTTGTGGGAGCAGGAAGCCTCATCTTTCTCTCACAGAGTGGCTGGTGGCCTTGAACTGCTGATCTTTTAGTTGGCATTCCAACATGTAATCATGATGGCATCCGGGGTCCTATTTAAAACTGTAAAGAGGTCTCTTGCAGTAGGTTTGCCCGATACAATATGCTCATTGATTTCTCAACTGTTGCTTTTATGGACTTTGCTTTTGAATTCAGGTAAAATGAAATCCTTGACAACTTCAATATTTTATACATTGATCACGATGTTGCTTATTGGTCCAGCTGAGATTTTTGTTTTCTGTATGTTGAGCTATAAATTCATACTGAAGACTGTAGTCTTTGATCTTCATTATAAATCCTCATGTCTTTCCGCAAGCAAGGCTGTGTCATCTGCATATCACAGGTTGTTAATGAGCCTTCCTCTAATCTTTAGGCTTCTTCTAGACAGATTATTTGCTCAGTAAATAGATTGAATAAGTGTGTTGAAAGGGTATAACCCTGGTGCACACCTTTCTTGATCTGAACCATGCAGTCCCTCTTATTCTGTTGACCGGTTGCTTCTTGGTCTATTTATAAGTTCCACATTAGCACAATTAAGTGTTCTGGAATTCTTCACAATGTTGTCCCTGATAAGTTATGACCCACGCAGTCCAGTGCCTTCTTTGCAAGTCAGTGAAGCATAGGTAAACTTTTTTTCCAGTGTCACATTCTCTTCTGCATCCAGCTTGAATTTCTGCCATTTCCTTGTGAGTGTACTGCTGCAGCTACTGTTAATTATCTTCAGGAGATTTGTATTTGTGTATGATAATAACATTGTTTGATAACTTCTGCATTCTGCTTCATCACCTTTCTTTGGAAAGAGCATAGGTCTCTTCCAGTTGGTTGACCAGGTAGCTGTTTTCCAAATGTCTTAGCATAGATGAGTGAGTGCTGCCAGTTTTTCATTGTTTATTGAAACATCTTAACTAGTATTCCACCAATTCTTGAGGTCTTATATTTTGCCAATGTCATTGCCACTTGGATGTCTTCCTTTAATACCAATCTGTCATAACTTGAATAGTGTCCTCTCAAAATATGTATCAATTTGGCTATGATTCTTCTTATCATGTGATCTGACATAATTATTCTAAGTATTGTAAATCCTAACTTCCATGATGTTAATAAAGCCAAATTAATAGTAGCTTTATTAAAGAGGCAGGATTAGGTAATCCTCAGGATTAGGCTATATCTTGAGCCAATTTCTTTAGATTCATAAAAAAAATTAGACCTCACTAGCACCTAGGCAAAAAGAGTGCTTTGCACTGTGCATTCTGTCAGGCCACACAAGGCCAATGAATGTTGCCAGGGACATCTTAACTCAGATTTGAGATTATTGTATGTTATCAATGGTGGTGTTTTTACTTTATGGACAAAATCTTCTGCTCTTATGGAAACATGATAGTTTAGTGAAAATAAAGACTTATTGCTATTATCTCCCTCTTTTACAGAAATGTAAATGTTTAACTTAGCAGGAAAAGACAAAAGACTTTTAATATTTCCTACCATCATCCCTCAGTATGTAAGTATCAAATTGGTATGTCTTTTGGATCATACTGTTAGTGTTTGATTGTAGAAATTGCTATTATCTCCCTCTCTTATAGAAATGTGTTTAATTATAGCAGGTAAAGACACAAGTCCTTTATTTTATTTTTTATGAGTCCTTTAATAGTATTTCTCTACCATCACCATTGTATGTGTATGTAAGTGTGAACATCAGTTTTAAAAATAAGCACAAATGTAATTTCACAAACTAAAGCAAGTGTAATTTCACAAACTAAAGCAAGTATTAATTGAGACATTACTAGTATATTTATTTATATTTTAAAGTAAAATACTTTTCAGTTATAGATCAGTAGGTAGATTTAGACAGAAGAGTTAAAAATACTGATGACAATGTGACAGTCTTCACTACCAGGTTGCAGTACATCTAAATTGTGAAGAAAAAGAAAACATGTCAAGCCATTTTTACTTCTAATAATGGTGGCGGTGTGGACAAGCTCTTTGCTTGATCCGTAATGGAATTTTGACTGTGGAGACCACGAAGCCAGCCAAACAAAAATGACATCTTAATACTGATGCAGCATACTCTGATAAACCAAGGGAATATTTTGGAAGACTTTTAAAAAATATATGTTTTATTATTTTTTTAAATCATTTTACTGGGGGCTCATACAACTCTTATCACAATTCATCCATCCATTGTGTCAAGCACATTTGTACATTTGTTGTCCTCATCATTCTCAAAACATTTGCTTTTTCTACTTGAGCCCTTTTGAATGACTTTTAAAAACCTGCAAATAAAGAAAAACCATGCTTTGGAAATTAGTTCCTGTCTTCTCTGGACAGGGTTCAGCGCCATCTTATATGAAACTTCCTAACCACGAGAGCCAAGCGGAGGAAGAAGAGAATGCGCAGACTGAAGCGCAGGAGAAGCAGGACGAGGCAGAGGTCCACGGACAGCCACCGGCGCTCGTCAGAAGCCACAGCTTTAGGAATATGGAGTGCCTGAGGCCGGGACACTGCTACGAGCTGTTGACTGCGTGCTACCCACCGTCTCTGCATCTGGGACTTCCGTTGCCATTGGCCGACAGACCATCACCTTACTCACACCTAACCAGTCCGGCTTTGACCCTTTGCCCCGCACCCAAGACATTCTGGACTAGTTCTGTCTTCAGTTGCGGCTCGATGTAATGTGCACAATACATCATTTCTTCTGCTGTCTTAGCTGAAGAATAAAAAGAAAATTAGTTCCTGTCAACAAACCTTGCATTTTTCCAGCTGCGGGAGAGGGACATATCTGATCGGAGCACATGGGAGCAGATGACGGGGGAGGAGGAGAGACTGGAGCACATCCTGGCCCACCAGGCCTTGAGGACGATGACCCCAATTAGAACAGCCACTAACAGAGAGGACCACATGGCCAGCCCCACTATG